GTATCCAAATACCCTGTTTCGAATGCACATAACATGTTTAACTCTGTTACATGGTCATGGAATATTATCTGTGCCATTTTTATTAAATACTACATTTTCACATAAAGCAATTGAATGGAACAATGCTAAACAGAGTTCAAAATATATGGTGATATTCTCTGACAGAATGGCAGCTGACATTATTCAGATTAAAATTATATTGGAACTCTGACATAATTATTAATCTACTATTTACCCTGCAAATGCAATTGTTGGCTCAAGAATAATGTCTTTGTGTGTATTTTGCTACATATCTGTTGGTGACTTTCCCCTTCCTTCCACTCCTTTTGTTCGCTGCTCTCACGATGGCGTTGGCGTTATCTTTTTGGCCTTTGGGCCCTTGAATAAACCCTTCCTTGACGAAAAAGTTGAAAAAAGTTTGCTCATTTTTCAAGAATAATTCAAGTTAAATGCCTGTTTATCAACAGTCAAACAATGAACAATTTTTGTGGGGGGACTCGCTTCTTTCCACCCCAAAAAAGTTGATTTTTGTTTGGCAAGTTTAGAGGTTTAAGCATCTTGCGTTAACACCTGCACATATACACACACACACACACAGACTCACACATATAATATAGAAATGTTATATGCGTATGTGTGCTCTAGTTTTTCCGCCTTTTCTCGCCTTCTTGCGGTCCGCGTTTTGGTTTTTGTCGCAGCCGCCGAAATTCCCACGTTTGCCCTCTTAAGTATGCAACACTTTATTGCTCATTAAAATTGCTTAAACATGAGTACACACACGCACACAGCAGAACGATAAGTCTGCGCGTGTGTGGGTGCAAATCAAAATCACGCCCACATAGAAGTAGGTCGAAAAATAAAACAAAAAACTGAAATTCGAACAGATTTGACTCGGTGGATTCACATTTTGACATATTCTATAAAATATTGATTTGCATTTTGATAGGCAATTTCATTATAGGGCGACAATATAAGTTTCATATTTAGTTGGGATTATATTGGAAACAAACCTTCCAGCAATTTTCGAATCAAAAACGCACTGATTGAGTTTGCAATAAACATCCCGATAAGCATTCAATTGTTTCAATTGCCTTTAAATCCCAAACGGATTAGTCTTATTGGATCTAATCAGGGGAAAGCTCAAATCAAATTGTGCCATGATTGATGGTATTTAAAGTCAATTGATTTGGCTGATATATGTACATCCATTGCTCTATTTAGATATTGTCTGTCATCAGTTGCCTGATTTCCCATCTACCTATGCCCAATAATCCCGTCCGTCAGTTCAGTCAATCTGTCAATATTGCCAATATTCGCCATCGCACTTTTCCAGAATGCATTTATCTCTAAGAACGAGAAGGAGGTGGAAAAAATGGAGCAGAAGTCAAACGGAACTCAAGCTCAATTGTGTACATTTTGTATATGGATATTAAACTGATTGAGGTCCAGTAAGATTTTAAAACTTCAAGTCCTTACCAAAATGCTTAAAAAGTTTATCATAGAACTTGTAATAGATTATTTAGTCTTTTATTGGAGCAGACATCAGCAACAGAATTTAGCTGAAAGAAAATAGAAAACTAGAACATGTATTGCATCCAAAAGAGTTTTCCAAAATATTTTGAAAAACTTTCGCAACTTTGCCAGTTGCGTGCACAAAAGTTGTCTCCTTGCGTGCACTTTAATTTGCAATAACTACACCTTTCCTGTTCCGTCAGTGGATTTCTAGAGCGCTCCCCCCCACAACAACTTTGTTCACCGCCTTCGCCACTTGACGACAAGTCAGTTATTATAATTAATGAGACAAGAAAAAGTTTCGGGTACCGCAAAATTTTGCTCTAGTCTGGCGGAGAAATTTCAATTAGGCGACGACCTCGCCTCATTAGCATGGCGGATATATATACAGGTGTAAATATACATATAAATATAAAGAAAATATAGTGACACGTGCTGCGGGGTGAAATAAAAATAAATTTAATTCCGCCCTTTTGTTGGGCAAATATTATCCACTCGCCGAAACTCGAGAACAGCCAGACTTTCACTGTCACTGATGAAATGGAAAACCTTTGGCATTCAAAAACTGCCATGCCGAAATGTCAAGTGCAGCCAGATGACGATAGAAATGCGAATGATGATGATCCCAATGATGATGATGCAGTTCGTCCATCAACGGACAGGACATCATTCGCCCATTTGGACGAAATTTGATTTGATTTCCAACTCCTGAATCCCGCCCATCTACAGGACATCGTCTTCTGGTTAGTCGTGTCCTTGGCTAGTCAATCGTTTTGATTTGACAAACAATTTATCACTTAATGTTCGTTTGCGGCAATTTATTCGTTATACACCAGTTTATCTACACACCGATGTGGGTGCACTGAACAAAAATTAAGCGCACTTGCTGCTGTCAAAGTAATAGAAGAGCTATAACATTATTATAAATCCATATTTTTATTAATGTTTCTATGCCAAGGTTTATATTCAAGGCTCTTAAATATGCAATGCAAATGCCAGTCTATACAGGCTGAAAGTTTCTCGCCCAGTGCACAGTATCCAGATTTTCCTTCTTCTGCACGCGGAATTTCTGTCGCTTTTCCTTGGCTTTGTGGCTTCGACTGTGGCCCAGCTCTTGTTAAGTGAAACAATTGAATTGTTAACTGAACAATAAAGTATTTTATTATTATTAGATTTTTGCTGCCAGCCCACCAACAAGCAATCCCATTGCTATTTGCCTTTTGTCACATCTCTTTAGCTGGGTCCCTGGCATTTTCTGATTTTACCGACTTTTTCCAGACTCCCAGACTCCCAGACTTTCCCGTTCCATCGGACTTCCCCTTATCCAGAGTCTTAAGTGCCTTTTGAGTCTGATAGGGCTGATACGGCTCTTGGCCATTTGGGTTCTTTTTTTCGGCGAATGTCTCGAGTAGATTTCCGACATATTTCCCGACTCCTGTTATATGTCATTTGTATTATGTTCGGCGCTTTTCATTCCACCGCCCCCGTTTTGCCGCCCTTTCGGCTCTCACTTTCTGGCCTGCCTTTCTTTCTGGTTTTCCTTTGTTGCCTTTGGTTCAGTATTGCCAAAGCCATTTAGGTTTTTGAATTTATGGCCATTTTGCGTTTTGTGGCTCCTTCTCAAATGCTCGGGCAATTTATGATTCCTGGCCTTTTGGCACACCCTCTACTCAGTGTCCCGATGCTTTTGATTAACGATCCGCAAATATAGCAGGCCGAATGCCGGAACAGGCAAGGTGGCCCAAATGCCAGCCAATTCTGGCACCCAAAAATCAAAGTCAACCATTTGTCACATCGTGACAGTGTTGTGCACGCAGCGAGGATAATAAATAGTGTTGTAAAAGACAAATAAGTAAAATGGACAAAAATTGTTGTTCAAAAGATTGATTTAATAAACTCAGTGTTGAAGTACAGTGTTGTAAAGTCAAATATAAATCAACTTGACTTAAAATATCAAGTACGAAGAAAGAGATCAAAGATATTTCTTTAGAAATACACACACTCTTCTTGTTAGCGGCTCAAAAGATTAAAGGAGCATTTGCTGTTAAATATTTTGTAAGGAGTGGGCGGAAAAATCCTAGCAACCAATTGAACGGAAGGCAATCAACAGGCGACCACGAAGTGGGGCAAACATTGCGGCGGCCCGGCTTCAATTTAATTGAAATGTGTAAGATGCGACAGTGTGGAAAACGTCAGAAGACTCCAGCACTCGCAGACACACACACAAATTCGTTGGGAAAAACGTGTTTATAAGTATGCTAAGTGAACTGCAAGGACGAATGGCAAACAGCAGAAATTCGCTGCATATAAAGCCAAGGAGAGCGTGGTGTCGATACAAAGACCACTTGTAATGCCATTCAAGAAAGTTGTGATAGTTTTTGTGCACTCAAAAATGTGTCGTATAATGAAAACTGGCATAAAGAAAGTTTCTTGCTTTTCTTGTGTGTTCTTGATATACTTTATACTCCTCTTTTATCTTTTAAAATTTAAATTTTGAAAAGGTTTTTTAAAGCTTTCCCTAATTTCAGTGTTTCAGTGCACATCGCAGTCGCAGTGGCAGTTTTATATTTTTTACTATTGTCCTTTGTTACATACATAAAGGGCGTATAGCCACAGGCGTTGAAGCAATCAAGTCGCCGTGGAAAGTACGGAAACTCAGAGGAAAGTTGAGACTTTTGATGAGCTGAAGAAGTGCCACGATCTGTGACTTTTTTCGCTTTTGAACTACAGCGAAAAGTTGTACGCTTTATTATGTCAATCCATATTTTAAATTTAGTGTTGAAAAACCATTGAAATACGAATCCACCTGCAGCCATAAGATATTCATTTACGTTTCACATTGCATTTGTCTGCTCTGATTCACTGCATCTATGCTGGAAAATGCGCAAAATGTGGAAATGGCGAATGCATTTCTGCCATTGAATTAAATATTTCACATCGCCAGCCAGCCGGTCGCTTTTCACCCGCACACTTTTCCGGATGGAAAAGCCAATGCCCGAGTCCTAACTCGCATCCGTGGCATTTGTGCAGTGTTTTGAAATCATTTTTCCATTCCATTGTAGTTGGATTTAAATTTGTCCATTTGATTCCAACCCATTGTTGCATTTGCTCATGCCTCATTTGAGGCTATTACACACAACACAAAAAAAGGGCGAAGAGAGTGGAGAAAGCACAAAGCGCACCCGAAGCGGAGGTGGGTGAAAGTGCAGGTCTGGCACAGGCCAAAGTACTTGACCATTTGCGCCATTTGTCAGAGGGGAATCAGAACATCAATTACTTTGGTCGGCAAATGGTTGGTCGGCAAATAGCGCCCAACATCGGTATTGTTGTAGAACAGTTTGAAAGCTAACTAAGCTATGTTTTAGGTCCAAAATATAACTATTTCTATGGGATATCATATCATATATTTAAACTTATGAGGGCTGTGTGGGAACATTTTGGGCAAACCCCATATATTATTACCCCCAAATATGAATCGATCTACTCACATAGCCAGTTCATGCGCTCCGTGTACTCGACCTTGCGCTTGAGGTCCTTGACCAGGGCGCGAAAGTCGTCGTCGTTGAAGTGGCACTGGATGATCGTGTTGTTCAGCTGCAGGATGCTGTACTCGTTGTTCCCGTTATTTCCATTATTGCCGTTATTACCGTTATTCGATGCGACAATGGCGTCTCGTGCACCGTTCAATGCATTCGTCTCGATATCTGTGGCACTGGCCCGCATCTTAATGCTGCCACCAATGCCACCAATGCCACCGCCAACCGTTGAGCTCAGCGCGGTTGCCGTTGTGGCAGTGGCATCACCATCCACATTGCTGCAGGATTTGCTCAGAATAATGGTGGCACGATTGGCTATCGAGTTGGCGGCCAACAGGTGCTCACCGGCGGCGCCGCAACTGCCGCGATGGAAGGGCAGCGCCTTGCCGCAATTGTTGTTCTTCAGCGTGATGCAGTGCAGCTGATTCTGGAGGGCGGCCTGGACCGCTGAGCAATCGCTGGCCCGGCGGCGTCGCGGATTATCGCTGCCATCGGGCAGGGAGGTGGGTTGCAAGTGGGTGTTGGTGGTGGTGCTCGAGGTTGCCGGTTGTTCCACCGATGGCGTTGTTGTTGCTGCCGCTGTTGCCGCGGGATTCGACATGTTGTTGTTGTTCTGTATGCTGTTGCAATTGTTATTGTTGTTGTTATTGTTGGTGATCCTTTGCTGCTGCTGGTGCTGCTGGTGCTGCTGATGATGATGATGTCGGATCACGGTTAGGTTGCTGCGATGATCCTGCTCCTCGTAGAACTGGATGAGCAGCTCCTCGAGCAGATTGATGTTGTTGGAGCAAAAGGATTGCGAGGCGGAGGCCGAAACAGAAACGGAACCGGAAACGGTGGCCGTGCCGCTGATGGTGGAACTGCTCGAGGACTTCCGGCGCACGGTGGCCGTGGTGGTGGTGGTCACTGCGATCGCCGGCGGTGGCTGCTCCTCAATGTCTGTTCTCTCTGGCTTCTCACTAGGGTGCTCTTGCACCTCCTCTTCGTGTTCCTCGGTATCTGCCCGATCCTGATCCTGCTCCTGCTCCTCCTCCTGCTCCTCCTGCACCTGTTCCTGCTCGTGGTGATCGTCCTCCAGCTCACTGCTGCGGCTTCTGCTGCTGACCGCCTCTAAACTGATGCTGCTGCTGCCGCAGACGCAATCGATGGCAGCCAGAGGACCGGCAATCGCCGCTGTTGCCGCGGCCAAGACAATCGCCCGCTGGTGCTCCTTGCCAGGATCGAAGATCGAGTGCCGCAGCAGTATCTCCTGCAGCTGGCGCCTCTGGCGACGGGCACTGTACGGATTCACCAGCCGGAAATCGCCGTAGTACTTGGACAGGCAGCGCACTCGCGATGCAATATAGCCGATTTTGCGCAACAATCGCTCGTCCGCCTGCTGCAGCTGCAGTTGCCAATGTTGCTGCTGCTGCTGCTGCTGTTGCTGCAGCTGCTGTTGTTGCAGCTGCTGGAGGTTGTTGCTGCTGCGTTGCAGCAAGGCCGCATTGCCGCTGCTGCTGCTGCCGCCACTTGGCGAAGTGCCTTCCTGGGCGGTCGTCTGGCAATCGATCTCGATATACTCGCACTCCTCGCTATCCTCGCTCTCCACCGGACTGCTGTCCTCGATGTCGCTGTTGCTGGCGAGTGTTGCAAGTGTGGCAAGTGTTGCTGTTGTCGCTGCCGCTGCTGCTGTTGTCGCCGTGCCGCTGGCTATAACCGTCGTGGTTGTTGTGGTCGCATGGATATCGCTATCGGTGATGGTGGTCGTTATAATCGTCAGAGTCTCGAGTGTTTCCTCGTCGCTGCTGCTGGTTGTGGTTGCTGCTGCTGCTGCTGTTGCTGCTGCTGTTGCTGCAGCAGTTTCTGCTGCAGTTGCTGCTGTAGATGTTGCTGCTGCTGCACTGCTGCTGCCGCGTCGACTGCTACTGCTGCTGCAGCCGCTGTCTTGGTACATTTATAAGCAACCCTTGCTAACTGGTTTGCTCGACTCTGGGTTTCCTTTTTTCGGCTGCTGCTGCACTTGATTTTTTCAGCGTTTTCCTCGCTTTCCCGGCTTTTCCTTTGCGCCCCCGTCTGTCTTAATTGTTACGGCCTGCGATTACTTTTATATTTCTTCCCTATTCGTATTTGATTTGCTGCATAAATTAATTTTCACCTAAAGAGCGGGGGTTTTGCGAGAATTTCTTTTTACGTATTTTTACGAGGCTGGCGCCGTTTTTATGACCATTGCTTCCCTTTGTTACTTGCAATTTGCTTTTTGATGTTTATGCCACGCCAGCAAAGTTATGCAAATTTCTGCCGCTCCCGCGGCGCCCTATATATCGCGTATACGTATCGCGCATACGCTCCGTATTCCGGCTGTACTCCTTACTGAAAATCAAATCAATTCAGTGGAAAAGTTGCCGCCACTCGCATTTTTTTTTGGCATGTCAACCGATTCGCCTTTTACTATTTTTTTGCTTTTGTTTTTGTTTTTGTTTTGTTGTAGCTCCTTTAGCCTTTTGCAGCTCGTGTTCTCCGTTGTCATTTGTGTTTTACATTTTATTGTGTTTTAATTTGCATTATTCAGCCGTTTGTCCTGCCGTCCTGCCGTCCTGCGCTTCCTCTTGCTCTTCCCCTTTTCCTTTCGGGCGTCACTTCCGTTTCCGTTTGTGAGCGCTGGCAAATCTGCAAGGAAAACAATAAGGGTAGGTCTATGAGTCTCCAGTAGGAATTAAGTCAAGGAATATATCTAATGGTCCGGATGGAATGTGCTTCCCATGACATTGCAAAAACTTATCTACAGCTTACGGTGCTCACTTTACAACATTTTGGGGAAACATTATTAGTTATCGTATGAATGTATCTAAATATTTCGTATGCACGTTGTGTTGTAAGGGCAACAAATGAATCAGATGTACAACATAGGTGTTCTTATAACTTGACAATTTTTTAAATTGTTTCTGATCAAATTGATTACTTTAATAATCTCAATTAAACTCCTGATTCAAATGCGTCGGAAATATATAAATGAAAAGGCAATTAATGCACTGAAAGTTATTCGAAACCACAAAAATCCCCCAAAGCTGATTGCTCAATAAATTTGTTAGTAACATTGTTGTGCACTGATTAAATCAATAGAAAAATGCCACGTTGTCGCTCAATAATCTGTGGGAATCTGTGATCAAGGCCCCGGCACTTTAGACTGGTTTTAATTAATACGAAATCAATCAGGCGACTGGCCAAGGAAAAACCAAGAGAGCAAATACAAGGACCCACAAATAAACAAATGGATTAATAGGAAAACAGCAGCAGCAGTAGCAGTAGCATTGGCAGTCGCACAACAATGTAAATATTTTATGAAATATTTTTACAACTTGCTGGGCGCTCTTCGTACTATTTTGTTGTGACAATCGATTGCAGCTTGCAGCTGGTGTGTGTGTGTGTGTGTGTGTGTGCAGAAAGTAGGGATTTGGGTGGTTGGGTGCTGGTTGTGTTGTGGGGTGTGTGCTGCAAGGTGATTTGGGTGGCCACTCGACAATCCCAATAAGCAGACGTGCTCGACCGCAGAGACAAAGGCGTTGCCCACTGGCGGTCAACCTTGCGACCGACTCGCTGGTTAGTGTATGGTTGAGTGGGTGTTTGCAGTGGGTGGTGCTGGATAAACAGCGGGCGTTTGGACAAAGCAATGGCTGGTGGTCAGAAGCAGCAGCAGCAGCAGCAGCAGCAGCAGCAGAAACATCACCAACTGTCGCTAGCGTTGACAATGACAGCAAATGTCAAACAGTCTTTTCTTGCCGCCCCCTCGAAAACCACCCATTATCTACCTAACACACACCCACACCACACAACCACAACCACCCACCCACCATTGACCACCCGCCGCCGCATTAAGTGCTTGGCCACCGCAGTACTCGCTCCTGCTGTTCAGTTCATCTGTCAATCAGTTTATCTGTCTCCTTTGTTTGTCCGGCAGCAACTCGTGTGCAACTTCCACAATGCGCCGCCGAGACAAAGGGCTGCAACATGGCAGTGCGGTTGCCGGTGCAGCGATGTTGCGGCAAGAAGGCAAGAATTCCAGCAAGTACTCGACCACTCGACAAGGCTTAAAACGATTGCAAATGGCCAAGAGTGCGGATGGGACGGGGAGGCACAACAGATTTTCACCGATCTCCGGGGCTTCATTCAAGATCATTTTGTCAACATCTTAGAAATGTTTACATGTACATGATAGCCAAGATATTAAATAGCAAATACTGTTGTTAGTAGTACAATAAATGGTAAGTTAATGGTGTGCTAGAAACGAAAATAAAGCAATTTATTTGCAATTAGCTTGGCAACGAGGCTCTTGGAAATAATAAATAAACAAAATATTTAAATAAAACCTAAAAATACATCGGTAGCGTTCTCTTATTTATATTTCTTATTGCCTCAAGCTTTGGCGTGCTGAATGCCTAATTTCCAGTTGTACTTTTACTAGTTTCACACCGCAACCTTGTTTCCTTTGAGAAAAGGATCTGCGACACACACACATACATAGGAACACACGGTGCCCCGAAATGGATTTTTACCAAATTCCAAACGCATTGCGAACAGCTAACGTGGCGTATCCGTTCGTGCGTTTCTGGTATGCTGACGATTCCGGCACGACAGGAAGTGGAAATGGGAAATTGGGGTGGTGTTTGGTGTTGCCTTCTTGGCGTTGGATGGGTGGGTGAAAAACGAAGTGGGGGAGAGCCCAGTTTTTCAGGAGGCCAAGAAAACGTCGAGAACTTTTCAAAAGATTCAACTTTGCTGCATCTAATTATGGGCAATTTGATTAGGGCTCATAAATAAACAAAGTCTCACACCCATACCTATACAACCCCCTGCCGCCTCACACACACACACACACAGCACACACACACACAGCACACACACACACAGGCACACTCTCAAGTGTCAATATGGAGCCGCAGGTGGCGCAATTGCCGACGCTGTCATGGCTGACAAAACGCAAACGCAAACAGAAACCGCCGCGGCCTTGTCCCAAAACCCTCGGCAAAAAAAACAGCCACCACCCAAAAAAAAAAAAGAAACCCGCAATGAAGCCAACCCCCAACTCTGCACCCCAAAAATGTACCCAAGGACCAGACCGAATCGAAGCGAAACAAGACAGCCACCAACTGTTGAATATGGTGGCAACAGTTCTGGCCACCATATTTGCTGAATTTCATTTATTCACAGCGACGGTAAGCGAAATAAAATAATTTTAATGCGCCAAGGCCCTGCAGGAATTCGTAAACAGAATAATGATTAATTAAATGGACTTCATGCATTAGATGCTTATGGAAAAGGTAATGATACACGAAATAAGTTTGATTAAATTCTAAATATTGAAAATACACATTTATGTTGATTGATTGCAGGAAAGATATGTAAAATATTCCCAATTCCTTATGAGATAAAATGGTAATTAAAAACGAATTTCTTTTTAATGAATATATATAAAACATAATTATGGCGTAACTTCCGTTAACATGTTCGTCACACTTTAAAATTGAAAGTCCTTTTTATTTCTAGTTATACAGTTTTTCCACTCAATTGTTTTAGATAACACAAGGCAAGCATATCAAATCAAAACGCTTATGTTCACTATTATTTCTGCACAAATGGCCAAAATGCAGCCATAAATAAATAAACTAATTTTAATAATACAAAAGCTGCTTAACAACTTGTATCGAGTTTGTGTGTCTATGCGTGTGTGCGTTGCGTTTATGGCCGAAAATGAATTTGCTATGGGGATTCGTTGGCCACCGTTGGCGTTGACTTATCACAATGGATCCGGGCGGCGTTTGGTTTGGAAAATAAATAAAGTCAAAATGTGCCGCCATCGCTGGAAAATTGCGAGCACAAGTTGTTGTGGTTGTTGTTCCTGGCCATCATGTCCTGCAGCCTGCCGTTCATCGGTTGTCGCATCCTTTAAATGCATCAAAATGTGCTGCCTACTTTTAGGCCTTCACCCGCTTTTCCGCAAAACAATACGGAGAAGGAAATAAAAAAAAAAAAAAAAAAGCTAAAAACCGGTCTACGACAGCGACACACATTTTGCGGTTGATATGAATATCGATTCGACCCGTTAACTGTGCCAGCCTTCCGCCCCTTTTGCTGCCCCTTGCTGCCCCTCCCCAGGACCGACCCCTTTTTAGCCCTGGTATGTAAACTAGAACTTTGTATAAATTTATGTGCACAACAATGTTTATGTTGTTGAATAAACGAGCAGTTTTGCATGCGGCGAGCGCCAGGATCCTCTCTCCTGTGTGTGTGTGTGTGTGTTTCATTGCGAGACTGTGTTTGTGTGTGTCTGTGTAATGGCAGGATGCAACATGAAAATGGCGTGTGGCTAGCAACGTTTTATTTGCTCGTTCTCTGGTCCTTTTCCCTTCATTCTCTCTGACTCCATTTTTCCTTACTCCAGTCCTTTGATTGTATGCGAGTGTACGTGTGTTGGTTGCACTTTAAATAGAAATATGCCACACATACAAACACATTGCCACACTCACACACTGGTGGGCAGTGAAAACATTCAATTTCAGTGCGGAAATCGCCTAACAGCCCTAAATAATGGTCAATATCTGGGCCCCTGGCTCACAGTACGATAATTTTCCCCAATGATTTTCTTTCAGTTTATTTCACCTCTTCCCCAGCAAAGCTAATTAGGCACATTCAATATTTACCATTTGGGCCATTTACCAATTTCGCACGACAATTACATACAAACATGATTAGAGATGAGCTGGTGAAGTTCAGTTGTCACGTTTTTGCTTTGATAAGAAACAAATACACAAAATAAAATGACAGAATCGTAATATTGTTTAGTTACTCTCTTTTGAAAATGTATAATTTGAAAAGAGCAGTTCGGCAAACTCCAGTATAACTTTTGGCCATCTAAAAACCGTGTGTAACTTTTTGCCAGCTTCGATAGTGAGACGCTTACAAATGAGTTTTTAGAACGTATATTTTGGCATCGCGGCATCGAGGGAGCAATCTGCTGGCTGGCCCATGACCAACATCCAGACGCAATGTCTGATCCTTTGATTTAATGGAGTCCTCACACACATGCACACACACACACACAGTCATACACTGAAAACGAGGTTTGGAAGAGATATGGGGCCACATACTTTGGAGCGTTCAATCAAACTAAGCGCAAACAAGCCTAGAGATATGAGCCAGGACGAAAGGACGAGGAACGAGGGACGACATGACGAAGGAGGGGAAAACCAAGCCAACGAAGCGTACGAAAATAAACAAAAGCGTGGGAAGTCTGAGGATTTTTGAGGGGGTGCGAGAGCGAGAGCGAAACACCTTGAGTGAGAGAGATGGCACGTGGTGTTGGGTTATGGCTGCCAGGACACCTCACACACACACACACGCACGCAGAGAGAACTTACTTAAGCGAGTGATTTTCAGATTTTCCGCTTGGGCTTGTGCGCCATGCGTGTTTGTGTGAGTGTGTGTGTGTATTTGTTCCAAAGTGCTTTGGTGTGCGTGAAGGGCCATTGTGATTTTAATTTTCATGACCCGTCAATAAAACATTGATCGCGCCATCAAAAATTACAAGCAAATTGCTGTAAAAGCCTTGTGCCCTAGTGTTCAACGCACATTATTGATTATATTCGTTTTCGAATGATCACACGCAGTTCAGA